GCAAAACGCACAACACAAGATACACCAAAGAGGGAAGCAACACAGACACTGGAGACAGTGGTACACAGGGAAGGTGCATAGCAAAGGTGCACTAGGAGCAGGGCCGGCCTTAGGGGTGTGCGAGCTGTGCGGCCGCACCAGGGCGCCATGGCCCTGGTGCCCTGTGCGGCCGACACAGCTCCTCGTATATTGTGCCTACAAGTTTAATACCTTTGAATAAAAGTTTTATTTTATCATACTTTTTAATATGTTTCTTTGCGGCTTAACAAAATAGTCTTTAAATGGTGCGGATTTTGGGGGAAATGGGTGTGGTTATGGGGGTGTGGCCACTAAAGGGTGTGGTCACTGAGGGCGCTGTAAAGCTTTCTCGCACAGGGCGCCTAAAGGCCTAAGGCCGGCCCTGACTAGGAGCACGAAGATAACAGGTACAACAACGTACAAGGGATATGCAATGCACAGAAATAGCAGAAGCCCACAGGAGAAGTTCATACAAAGAGATATAGGGTACACAGAAGATACACACAAGAAGCAGGACAAGGTGGCAAATGCACACAGGTAGTGTGCGTTACAAGGTGGTATTGAACACAGATAACACAGAAGGCGTGAGAGACACTGAGGTGAGGTAAGTAAACAGGAATATCGTACACTGGGGAAAGGCAGGCAGTAGCACGGAGAGTCCAAGTAAATAGGGGAGACACACACACAGCCTGGCGAAGAAGAACACTAAAGCAGAATAGCAAGACTTACAGCACACAGGAGAAAGCACAGGAAGGTCTCAAGAAATATACACAGGTACACACTGGGAACTTAGGAAAGGCTCAGGAACCCTTTGCAGGTCTTATGGCTTAATTAGCTGATTAGAGTGGGACACTTTGAGCCTAGAATATTGCACCTTTTCACAATATTCTAATTTTCTGAGATTGTGGATTTGGGGTTTTCATGAGCTGTAAGCCATAATCATCACAATTATGACAAATCACGGCTTGAACTATCTTGCTTTGCATGTAATGAGTCTTACTCTATATGTAGATATAGATAGATAGATATCTATCTCTCTCTTTATCTATCTATCTATCTATCTATCTATCTATCTATCTATCTATCTATAACTCTCTCTCTCTTTATCTCCTACAACACACTACATAGGGCCGCGGTGTCAGCAGCCTTATATAGTGTGCTGCAGGGACTTAGCTGTGAGACATGATTGGGCAGAGTCATCGTGACTTTGCCAAATCATGGCTCTAAATGTGTACTAAGCCCTGATTGGCACAGTGGCCAATTACAGTTTCGTAGGGCGCAGTGCATTGTGGGATGTTCCGCGGTAGAACAGGCTATGTTCAAGTTGAACCTATGTTCGATTCGAACATGCCGCCCATCACTACACAGGAAGCCAAAAGCACAGGGGTCCAAGAAAGCATAGGCAATGCCAGTCACAGGAAACGTGAGAGGTCTGACACAAGAGAAAAGACTTCTTATTTGAACCCAGAGCAACAAGCGAGGTAAGGCTAAATAAGGGAGGAGGTGTGCAGATTGGCTGCAGCCTTGTGACACACCATAGGCTGTCAGCCAAGCACCAGGGACCAAAGGGAAAATCCGGCACGGATTCCCGGACATTGTGACAATCAGAAGACATAACTGTACTGCCCTGCCAAATGCTCATGAGATGCAAATGCTGTATGGAAGCAAAGGCCACATGTACCCTACTTCCACAGGCACCCCAAAGAAAGACCACCCACTCTCCATCGCATCCATGAATACCTGTTGAGTAACCTCTTATTCTGACTCCAATCGTTGTGATAGCGAAATATATCCCTTGCTGAGACCTCTATGCCTGGCCTGTATAAGCAGATATACTCACTGTGGACAATCCTCGTCAGATAGCTGAACTCGTCAATACCGATTCATTCAAAGAGGTGTTTATTCTTAACATCAGGGTACAGCAGATGATAGGAACAGCAGTTGAACGGTTATAGTATTGTGCGGTCAGAAAATGATGCCTTTCCTACGTACTGTGCAGATTATATGTGTGTCCTTGTTACATGTGGCTTCTAACTGTGGCCATGACACAGGAAGTACTGCACACAGGAAGAAGGAAGGGCGTACACTAGGGGAAAATACATCGTCACATGAGGAATAATTACAGAAAGCATGTTTGTTACAACAAAAGGCCACTAGATGGCAGCATAGGATAACACATGAATTTAGCTATGAGAAAATAGTTAGGCAAATCACACTATATAAATTCTAACCTATATAACAATGCTAATATTAACTGAGGCTATGCATCTCATATTCTATGCCCCTATTGGGGCGGCACACCTCTCTTACCATACATCTTCATGCCATAGATCATTTCATCCCCATTCCAGCCTTCACTGATTCGGGTTCTGTGGCTAATTTCATCAGGGCTCTCCTAGGCCTAGATCTGGGGCTCATCCTGGAACCTGCCTCCACAACTCTCTCCATGTTGGCCATACACTTTCCCGTGATCCCATATGCCAGCAAACGGTGCCCCTTGAGATTTTCACTGGAGTGCTTCATAAGGAAACCCTTTCCTTGGTTTTTCTGCACAACGCCCCATCCATCATCCTATGTTTTTCCTGGCTGCAGCGGCACTTGACAGGCATAAACTAATACAATCTCAAAGTTCTGACCTGGGGGTCCCCCCCCCCCACTTACAAAAGTAGCACTGCTTTTTCTTCATTACAAAGAAGGACAGAATTCTAAGACCTTGTACAGGCTAGCAGGGCCTAGATGCCATTACTATCAAAAATCAGTATCTGCTGCCCCTCATCAACAAACTATTTGATCACCTACGTTGAAAATCGACGGATTAGTGGCATTTTTGTACAACAAAAATCGCACAATGAAAACTGCACATGCAGTTCGATCGGCGAATATTGGCCAGTTAGTAGTGTTGACGAACGATAATCAGAGACTACATTGGTTTGTGCATGATGGGCTGTTTGAACGAAAATTGAACGAGGGTGCGATGTCGGGACAAAGAAAAAGTTGTACAATGGTTGTAAGGTGCATGGCCACCTATAGAGAGATTCACCCTATTAGAAAGATATCATAAAGGTGCCCATACACCTTACAATTATCGGACGATTTTCGGTCGTGATCGCGCTTTCGTCTGAAAATCGGCCAGTTGATGGGAAGTGCACAACCTCAATTACTGTACAACTGGCAGATTTTCGTCTTTCAAGCAGCCTAGAAAATTTTCCTCGAGTTGGACGGAAATCGGTGGATTAGTGGCGTTTTCGTACAACAAAAAACGCACAATGAAAACTGCACCTGCGCAAATAAAAATGTGGTCGTTCGATCAGCGAAAATCGTCCAGTTAGTAGTGCTGACGAATGATAACTGCAGACTATTGAACGAGGGTGAGATGTCTGGACAAAAAAAGTTGTACAATGGCTGTAAGGTGTATGGCCAGCTTTAAGGTGCCCATACACTGCACAATTCTCGTACGAGAATTGCGGGAAATCCCGCGATCGTACGAGAATCGTGCAGTGTGAATGAAGACGTGCGACCGTTTCTACTGTACGGTCGCAGGTCTTTTGTCTAAGGAGCATGCTAGAAAACCAGTCGAAAATCTTACGATTTTCGGCTGGTTTGAACGATGCTCGGGAGACAAATGCCGAACGGGCCGGTGTGCGCATGCGCACACTGCCCGTTCAGCATTGCGGTCATCGGAAGCCCGCCCCTCAGGGGGGCGGGCTTCCGATGATCGCAAGTACGATCTGCCTGTCCAAGATGGGCAGATCGTACGTTTTTTAAATTACTTTACAACCATCGCAAGACTAAGGTCTTGCGATGGTTGTAAAGTGTATGGCCACCTTTAGAGAGATTCACCTTATTTGTCCTGGTGGCCGTTAAAAGAAAAGACATTCCAAAATTATAGGATGTCATCAGAACAGGAATAGATTTCCTCTGATTACTCTGGTTTTCTCCCACACTCCCAAGACATGCTGGTAGGTTAATTGTCTCCTGTCTAAATTGGCACTGAATGCATGTGAGATAGGGACCTTAGACTGTAAGCTCCTTGAGGGCAGGGACTGATGTGAACCCTCTTTTGTCCAAAATGGAAAAACGGTTTTAGGTTTAGTTCTACTCATGGGGCTGCCCTGTGCTTTATGAACGCACACAGCACAGCAGACAACGTTCAAACTGTCACGTGCCCTGTAATGCAACACACACACACCTTCCAATAAAAATTCTTCTTTCTGTTTGCGGTGCCGGTGTTCTGTCGAGAATGACAACCCAGTCGAATTTGCCGACCTCACCATCTGCGTTTTGGCACAGACGTTATTAACGAGGAAACAGCCATTTATTTACAAAGTATTAATTGCTAATTGTTACCGTTCATAATATGCCATCTGAGCCAGTAAATGATGGATGGCATTTTATGCACATTCACAATTGCATTATTATGTCATTGCTTACAATATTAATTGTGAATGTGCATAAAATGCCATCCATCATTTACAGCCATGGATGGCATATTATGAACGGTCACAATTAACAATTAGAAATGAATACTTTGTAAATAAATGGCTGTTTCCGCGTTAATCCCAGTGTGTGCGCAAGCGCAGATGGTGAGGTCGGCAAATTCGACTGGGTCTCGAGAACACCGGGGAGGAGCCGCAGCTGTGACACTCCACTGGAAGGGTGGGGCTATGCCATCGGTATAGTGGCGAGCTTTACATACTACCGTATGTCGGGCAGAATAGGGCGAGCACATGGGCGTGTCTGGCCTCAGCAGGGCGGTCACATGGGCGTGTTGGGACAGAGTAGGGCGGGGACCCGTGGTGTCATGGTGGAAGCCTATTGATTAATGGCCAGCGAGGGAAATTTGAATGGCCGGTTGTGTTTACTGTATTTTTTTTTGGTCAATAGTAATGGGTTATTCGAGGCTGTTCTTCTAGTCTGCCGAATGGTAATGTCCGCTTTTATTACAGCACTATCTAAATCCGTCCATTAACCGGCTGGCCGCTGGTTAAGCTCGTCCTGAGTTTCCTTGTGTCTGAATGGAGGATGGCGGCTCTGGCTCGGAAGTTGTGCGAAGCAGTGGAGAATGAAGACGCAAAGTAAGAGCCGTGTTGCATTAGGAGTTTTATACGCACATACAGCCTAAGCTTTGTGTGATATTGGCTTGCTTATGGAATCTACATGTCCGGACATGTTTCCCGTGGTGTGTGCGCTGCCAGGGGTATAGCTGGAAGAGAAAGCAAGCCTACTTATTTGTAAATAGAAGACACTTTGTTTTCTGTGTACAGGTTTACTCTATGAGAAAGTCTGTCCAATCAGGAGGATAGAAGTCCTGCACGTGTATACTACAAACAATGCCTTCCACTTTGCTAGGCAAAACAAATGAGTGCAGGTGTATATCAACACAGCTTGTGAGCTTCTATGAACCCCAAGTCACCTTTCACACCTTCGCATCAAAGTGCACATGTTCACAGAACGCAGGAAAACCTGGATGCAGAATCTGCTACCTGAGCTTTTTTTTTGGAGAGTTTTATGCACGTCAACACGTTTGGCAAGTGGTTTTCAAAGCATTCTGACGTGTCTTTCAGCTTGTGCTGTCCTCTATTTTGTTCCCCAGTGTTTTTTTGGGGCAGATGACAGCTGGCTACCGCACAACAAATGCTCCAAAAAAATGTGCAAAACCACCTGCGTCACCTGTTTACAGACATTTCCATTGAAGTCTATAAGGCCAAAAGCACAGACATCTGCAGAAAAGTAGCTCATGCATTTTTTTTTTCCCAGTGACAGTCTACTGGCAAGAAGATGCTCAGGTGTGAACAGGGGGCATTGCTTTGGTTGCAGCTACAAAACGCCTAGGTGTGAAGGGGACCAGGCCTGTAGCTACCACGGGGCGAGTGAGGCACTTGCCTCAGACGCAGCTGAGAGGGGCGCACTCAGAGCCGGCCTGGCTGCGTCTCCTTGCCCCTGTTGCCATGGCGAGCACAGGGCGCCATTAGCAACAGGGGCGCCTTGTGGCCAACACAGCCACGGCTTGGCAAGGGAGAAGGGGAGCGACACAGGCTTCAGCTTCTCCTCGGATCCCTACTGCTCTCCCCCACCTGTATGGGCAAAGAACTCTCCTTCCTCAATCACACACAATCACGTTTTGGACGAAATGAAGGGAAACTAAAAACGTTTTCATTAGTTTCGTCAAACAAAACAAATTTCTATGATATTTTGGATTTGGCCACCAGCGCACTCTGCACATGCGCGCCGCCATCCTGGAGGCGGGGGGCATGACATCACTTACCGCACATGTCTATTGGGGGGCACAATTTTCTGTTCTTGCCTCGGGCGCAAGAGGAGCTAGCTACGGCTCTTACAGGGACTAAGGGCCCAATGACATTTTTGCTTTGCAGTGACGTGTTAGCATGGTGCACGTTAGGTGCGTTAGCATAATCTGGTAAAAATAAAGCACAAGGAGTGCCTCCATAGTGTAAAACTGATTTATTGTAGCTAAAAAAAAAAAAGACAGCTGAAAAGGTACTTACAAACCAGTCAGTATAAACGAGCATTAAGAGATCTCAAGAGGGCATCAGGAAGAATGAACGAAATGGCGCTGACCCTCCTTCAGTTGACGCGTTTAAGAACCTCTTGAAAGGTGAAAAGGGCTTGGCCTCTGAAACGCGTGAACTGAAGGAGGGTCTTTTTTAATCTACAATAAATCAGTTTTACACTATGGAGGCGCTCCTTGTGCTTTATTTATACCAGATATCCGGTTTTCCCTGACTGTGAGGAGCTGCCCCCGTGTTGTTGGAGATATGATCAGGAGCAGTTACTGTTTTTGGCAATATATTTATCGTTGCGTTAGCATAATGTAATTCCATTCATTTTGAATGGCACCCCAATGCAGGAAGGCATTCTTCTTTTTTTTTGTGTCTGTTCTAGTGTTGTGATTGCGAATGGGTTGCAACGTGCATGTCAACACGTAACATAATGTGAATTAATGTAAGAAAGACAAAGTTTGGATAGGCCCTAAGGCTCAGGCTATTGTGGTGACGCACCGTGCCTACATTGGTACATTGCGGTGCCGTTCATTTTCAATGGCGGTCCAGACTTACCAGCGTTGGAGTGCACAGTAATGCATCACCATGCGTTGTGGTGCGCTGCATTACCAAAAATACTGCAGGTACGATTCGTGGTCCATCTCAGTGTGTTGGAAGCCTAGTCAAATAAAATAAGCTGCCTTTACGCAACTTGTGTTTAATATGCGGCATAACGCGTTAACTGCTCCAAACTGCCATGGTGTGTTTGGTCCCTGAATGTAGTCATTGGGAGATCACTTGCACTCCTTTTGTGAATTAGGCAGGGCTGGCGCAGTCTTTGATTTGCCAATGGGGGCTTATTCTTGGGGCTTGTTCACATTAGCTGGTGCGTGTTGTGAAATGCATTTCCGGCTTTTTTTTCCCCGGTGTTATTTATATTATACTATATGCAATGCATGTCAGTGTGTTGCTATGCTTTGCTGTGTGTTGTAACTAGGGATACACTGATATCGATACTAGTATCGGTGCCGATACTGAGTATTTGGGCGGGCACTTCCTGTATCAGGAAGCCGGGCAGAGCGTCATTACACGCTGCCCACTTGTGATGAGAGAGCATGGAGCCGACTTCCCGGCCAATCAGAAAGCAGGGCGTCGCGTCATTACACGGCTCCCGGCTTCCTGATTGGCCAGACGGCTCCGGCTGGCTACTGAAGGAAGGCCACGTTCTGGCTGCAGAGGCCCCGTGGTGGGTGACAGGCTGGACATACCAAGGTAAGAGGGGACAGACTTTTTTGTTAATCGGGAAGCCGGGTGGTGAGTCTTTACACGCCACCTGGCTTCCGGAATGGGACTTCCGTTACTCGGTAATTGGTATCGGCGAGTACCGTAAAAAAAAATTATCGGTACTGTGTACCAAAATACCGTTATTGCTGTATCCCTAGTTGTAACAAAATGTGTGCTTGCATCATTTTATCACAATGCACACCAACACAGCATTGGTGTAAACAGGCCCTATACAGCAAGACTTTTTGCTTCGTCTTTGTGTTGGCCAACGTGTGTGGTCAGCATGGGGCTTGTACACGCAAGATTCAATCTGATTAGACTTAAAGAAGAACTCTAGGCAGGTTCACACCATTTTCTGGACCAGATCTGGAATACAGTGCATTGCGTCTTGCCGCAATTTTTACCGCTTTCCAGAGCTGTTTTTTTTTTTTTTGCACTTAAAATGGGCTTTCAGGTGCGTTCCAACTGGGTGTTTGATGCGTTCCACTGCATTTCAAACCAGACAAAATGAGACATGCACTATTTTTCTGGTCTGGTCTGGAGCGGACTGCGATGGTGTGAGGCCAGAAATAGCATAGGGATACATTTTGGGTCCGGAAACAAACTGATCTGATCTGGAGATGATCTGTATGTGGTGTAAATGGGCCCTCTGTGCAGAACAAATGTTAACCCTTGCAGTGGGGCTACCCCTGCATTGCAAGGGTTTAGTGCTCGTTTTCATCTAGGCATGCAAATAACAAAGATATGCTCACCCGATCCTCAGACATGGCTGGCTACTAGACCGGTCCCTGCCGCCTCTCTT